TTGTGAAATCTGCACATTTTGAATCATGTTGTGTAATTCCATTGCCTCTTCCATTTCCCAATCGAACAAATTCCTCCTCCATGTTAAATTCCACTCCCACAAACCGTTTATTCTACTTCCCATTTCACTGCACATATTCATCTTCTTTGTAGATAAAAGATACAATTTTGGAAACATATTAGCAAGACACTCCTCTCCCCTCCATTTATCCCACCAAAAACTAACAGTATTACCCTCCCCAATGTTAACCCTAAAGCCCTCTTTTAACCATCCATTGTTGCCCCCATCCATTGTGTTGATATCACACACATCCCTCCACCAAGTTGATCCTACTCCTCTATTTTCAACAATCCAATCTTGCCAATGTCCCCCTCTCTTTCCATACTTCTCAACAATAATTTTTTTCCACATGCCCTCCCCATTTTCTGCAAGCCATCCCCACCATTTTCCCATCAATGCCAAGTTAAATTTCCTCAAGTCCCTCACTCCTAAACCTCCTTCCTCTTTCTTTTTGCACACTCTATCCCAGCTAATCCAATTTATTTTTCTCTCATCTCCCTTCCCCCCCCCATAAAAAGCTTTTACGTAGTTTATCAATGGAATGAATTATACCTTTTGGGATAACATAGACAGACATCAAGAACACTGGCAGACTTGATAGCACTGAATTGATGAGCGTGATGCGGCCTCCCATAGATAGATACCGACCCTTCCAACTTGCTAGCTTCTTTCTAACAGACTCCACCATAGGCTGCCACATAGCTCTTCTTCTATGATTCCCGCCAATTGGGATTCCCAAATACCTAAATGGCAATTTCCCTTCCTTGCAACACAATTGATATGCCATTTTAGCACACCAATTTTGATCTACTCCCACACCAATCAACTGGCTCTTTCTGAAATTAATCTTCAACCCTGAGGCTAACTTGAATGTCCTCATAATGCATTTGATCACCCAAATATTGTCTTCCGTTGCATCCCCAAAGAAAATTGTGTCATCCGCGAATTGAAGGTGTGTGACCATCGCATCTCCACTCCCAATTACCACTCCTTTGTACCTCTCCTTCTCCACTGTCGATGACACTAGTCCATTCAGTCCCTCTACCACAATCAAGAATAAAAAAGGGGATAATGGATCTCCTTGACGGATGCCCTTATTAACCGGGAATTGATTCGTCGGACTGCCATTGATTAGAATAGAGACCGAGATCGAATTCAAGCACTCCTGTATCCATTTCCTCCAAGTTGCACAAAATCACATCCTCATCATCATGTAGTCAATGAATTCCTAGCATACCTTATCGTAGGCTTTCTCGAAGTCGACTTTAAATAGAAATCCCTTCTTCTTTTTCCTCTTGACTTCATCAATAATTTCATTTGCAATCACTACTCCCTCCATTAATTGCCTTCCTTCAATAAAAGCCATCTGCTGCTCCCCAATCACCTTAGGTAACACCTTTCGTAATCAGTTTGCTAGTAACTTTGCAATGATTTTGTATGTGACGCCTATGAGCAAAATGGGTCTGAATTCCTCAATTGCTTGTGGATTTTCTTTCTTTGGAATTAACATAATAAAAGAGGCATTTGACCCTCTGACCAGCCTGCCATGTTGTTGGAACTCCTGTACAAAGTTGATTATATCAGCTTTTATAACCTCCCACATTGTCCTGATGAATCTGAAGTTGAATCCATCTGGTCCTGGGGATTTAGATGGATCACAATTCCATATTGCTTCTTTAATTTCCTATTCTAAAAAAGTAGCAGTGAGGAGCTCATTATCAATCTGTGTGATTTGCCTAAAGCATGTTCCATCTAGCTTTGGTCTCCTCCATTTTTCTTCTGTAAACAATTGATCGATGAAGTTCATGTGATTACGACTAGGTACTTTTATTATTGTAAATTTATAAGATAATTCATATCAATCTTAACTCTTAAAAAAAAAATTTAAAATTTTAACTTTAAATGAAGTCATTTCATTTAATTAAAATATAATTCAAAATTTAAAAATTCATCATATTAAATGTTAATTCTTACATTTAGAAACTGAAAACTTAATTTAAAATTAAGAAATTTATCTTATTAAGAATAGGTACATAGATTTAGAAAGCTATTAGATTAGAATGTATAATTAATTTCTAAATTTAGACATCAATATTTAATTAGGTGAATTTTTAAAATTTTAAATTAAATTTTAGTTAAAGTAAATGACCTCTTTAAAGTTGAAACTTCAAATTTTTTAAGAGTAACGACATATATGTACTTTTTTTAAAATTTAATGTTCCAAAATATTTTTATATGTTTTATGATTTGCATTACTTGCTCTTACTTCTTATACACTGATTCAACGGCCACATAACAGAGTTGTGGAGGAAGATTGGATAAGAAAATTTTTTAGTACCTCCAAATTTGGCAATCATTTATTTGAGCTAATTACTAAGATAATTGCATAGATTAAATTAGAAAAAAAGAAATAAAAAAGGGTGCAGGAATGTCATGACCAGAAAGACAAAATAATAATAATAATAATAATAATAAATAAATTTTCACACCATGGCTAGAAATAGACGGTAACACAGATTAAAACTAACATTCAATTTAAAATTAATTAGCAAAACTTGTATTTAATTTAAAATCAATTAATAATAATTAGAGTAATAATTTTTGTAATTAACTCACATGCTTGCTTCTTGTAATTAACATATGATAGCTCCCAAAATACAAAGCCCGCACATGGGAATTGCATGCCGACTTTCTAATACCGATTTGTTCAATGTTGGATGCTTATGTTGAGTTGATGACTACATCTTTTCAGAGACCGTAAGGTAATAAAATCTACACAAAGCACTAGGTTCTCAAGGTATGACGGGATCCCTTTTTGGGGTTACTGGCAATGAGATCACTTGGGCTGCTGGGATTTCCTGAATGAAAGTATCCTCGATACTACTCAAGCTGCATCGGAGTTCTTGAATGAAGGTATCTTACAAGGCTGTTAATCATATGAACATACGTCTCGCACTGAAGATTAACGGTAGTTTGTTTTGAGGGAAACAGAGGGAAATGGAAGGAAAAACAAAAAATAAAGGCAAGGCTTCCCTCACCTCCTCTTCCTTCCAACTTTTTTATAATAAAAAATAGTGGAGGGGAGACAGGAGATGTGAGATATTCGGCCAATTATACTTTGTAAATGCTTTTTGCAAAATTATTTCCAGTGTTAGTTAAATGGCAAAAGTCTCTTCCAGATTCAAATTCAAAAGTTCTTTTACATAGGGATGTTTGATTTTCAATAATGCTATGGTGGCACTTGAAAAGGCGCACTGTATGAAAAATAAGCGGTCGAGAAGCGTTACGCATATGGCTCAGAAATTGGATTTGAATTCTGAAGTTGAATGGGATTTTAGAAGGTCTACCAGCTGAAGGTTTCAGATGGAATTGTAGTAATCAACGAAGTTATAGATGAAGGAGGAGCAGACCTGGATTCATCTTTTATGGCAGACTTTAAAAAAGCTTATGACCATGTCTATTGGAGTTTTCAGGATTACATGCAACAAAGGATGGTTTTCTCAGAAAAATGTAGAAGTTGGATAGGTGAGTGATTATGTTCAGCATCTATATCTGTTTGAGTAAATGGAAGTAACGAAGGAATTCAAGGTGACTAGAGTGCTAAGAAAGGTAGATTCATTATCGCCGTTTTCGTTTCTCATCACAGTCGAAGGCTTAAATGGGCTAATTCCAAAAGCTGTGAAGCAGAACTTGTATAAAGACATTCAAATGGGCAATGAAAGGTGGAGAATTTCTCACTTCAGTTTTCAGACGATGCGATTTTCATAGAATCAGTGTTGGTTGAGAACATATGGGTTACTAAATGCACCTTGAAGATTTTTGAGTTAGGTTGCGGATTGAAGACAAATTATGCAAAAAGTCAATTGATGGGAAGCAACGTTGAGGAGGATTGGTTGGACAGGATGACTTGGATTATGAGTTGAGACATCAACGATTTTTTCATTGCTAATATCCTTCCACAGCTCTCTGATCAAGTTATGCAGATATTGTGTTTTCATAAAAATACTGAGAATCGCGCTTTTTAGGACCCCCATTAATTATTGGGCGTAATAAGTTTATCTGTTTTTACTTCTACTACTGGTTATGGAATTGAATCCAAGGATGGGATCTGCATAAATTACTCTCAGTTGCAACAAAGGAGGTTTTGCTGCAGTTGTCCAGTCGATTACTCCTTATTCTGAGTAGATTTTGTTGAGGGAATAGTGAAAATTTTGATTGGGAATTATTATGTAAATCTGAATCTGATGGAAGGCTGGAATTCCGAAGCATGGTGGATTGCAATCACCGTATTTACTGGGTGGTCAAGTGTTTAAGGACAAGTATTTTCCGTTGTCATCATTTGTTGATACTGATTTGAGGACTAACTCTTCTGTTTGGCTGAGTATTATTGAAGCAAAGGAAATTGTGATGGAGAGCAGGAGATGGAACCAAGATGTCATTATGGGATGACGAATGTTGGATGGAGCTAACAATCTGAAGCCAATGGAATTCTGATTTTGTCATGAAGTTAATTTATGAAGATGTTCAAGTATGCTTTTAACAGGTTATCTTATCTGGTAAGAATTTGAGTTTTTAAAAAGTTGCATATTTTTAATCTGAATCTAAGATGTTGAGGAAACTATTTGGGAAATAGGAAATCCTCAGTGTACCCGTAGGCCAACAGTTATGATGATATGGAATTATTTATAGTTCGAAGAGTACATTATGTGGCACAAAGGCTGCTTAATGGATACGATCTCAGAGATGAAAAGGTATTTGGAAAATGCTTTGCTTGTCACAATTGCTCACCAACGAGGGTCACCCTTTAACGGAAGAGGCATGGGAGCTAAATTAACATGCGTGCGTGGATCTTCATGTCAAACAAGTCCGCATTATTTGGTTGCTTATTGGCATTTTATGTCTACAGATGGTGTTGATGCAATAGGATGAGCGAGGAGTTTTGAGTCCATTGCTGTGGAACGTGGTTTTTATGGTATGATAGGAATGTCAGTATGGTGCCGGTGGAATGTCAGAAGATTGTGAAATGAGAGGAAAGTCCAATGCTGCCAATTTGGTGCAAAGGGAAGGAAATGCACATGGGGTGTCGATGCAATGGCTGCCTCCGAGAGGTTTGTTTTTTTTTAATCGGCAACAAAAATATTTTATTGAGGTACGGGAGATATCTCAACCTATTACATCCTCATTTACATTCTTCATACTTGAAAAACATGTCAAAACTTGCCCTATTAAAACAGCCAATTCAGCTCTATAATCACACCTCATCACCTGCAGCATACACCAAGAACATTTCAATGACAAAAACCAGCACTAAACCTTTTAGACAATTGATTGAGCACCTTGTGTGCATAACAAAATGTAGCTCTACTCTTCCTAACCTTTACGGCCTCAAAACCCAGAACAAAAAGAAAATACCAAAAAAGTAAAGTCAACACCATCCTAATTGTTACACAGCGCTATGCTCTGCTGCCAATTCTTCGCTGCAGCTACTAGTTAAAATTAATAGCAGAATTTAAGCATACCAGTGGTTGGGAGCACCAATCGTATAGATGAAACATCATGTCCTTTGACTTGGCCTTTAACCACAACCATGTTTTGATTTGTATCAGTTCAAAGATTCTTCTTCCACCTACATTTCTTTCTCCCTTAAAAATCACCTGGCTCCTCTGTAGCCAAATTCCCCATATTGTTGCTTTCCAATCTGCAATCCAGACCTCCCTTTCCTTTTTACTACGCACCAGTCCACCATATTGTATAAAATTGTCCTTTAAAAGATTTATGCAGCACACCAAGCAATCCCCACCATTTATAACATAAATACCAAACTTGCTATGAAGACTCACTTTCCAAAAATAAATTACCTGCGTCTTTATTTTCCAAGCCACACCATTGCAAAGAGCCTGACTTGTTCTGAAGTTAACACCCTATTTTTTGTAAATTAGCCTTAGTTGGTATTCGATCCTGTAGAGCCATCCAAACAAAGCTTGAGACTTTTAGAGGTACCAGTTTGCTCCATACCTGGTCTTATATGTTGACTTTGTGCTGTAAACGCCGGTCATGTGAAGGTAAATAATGAATTTGCCAAAAATAGGTAAATACAGATGCTGCCCTTCTCTAGGCAAATTGAAAGGCATCGTGATTTAACTTTTCAGTCTAGGCAAATTGAATGAGTGATCTCAAATCCTTGGTGTCAACTATAATCAATTAAAAAATAAGATCTTTTTAGCAATGAATTTCTAACAATTAAGAACTTTTTAACAATTCAGAAACTCTAAAAGTGGCCACTAACAACTAAGCATAACTATGCACAGGTTAGAAGTTGAATGTTTAATATATAAATTCATTATTACTGGTGTTTATCAGTGAGATCTCTAAAAAAATTAAGAGGAAAAATACTTCAAAATTACATTATTTCATCAAATATATATATACACACACCAATTACTTAAAACATCCTCCATTGTTGGGAAGGCATGTAGAGTAAGTGACCAAGTTATTGGCAAAAATGTGCTTCTTCACCCATATGGCCAAGCTTCGAACCCTCATTCCCCCTTGACAGTTTCAACCAGTTGGCCTATTCTATCAAAAAATGTGAGTTGGTACTATTTGCTAGTATATTTGCATACGGTTCTGTGAGTGTGAAAGAGAAATCAAAACCTGCAACTAAATCAGTCAAGGGAAGAATATAGTCAGAGGTAAAGCCCTCTATAGCATGACAATTTACAATCTCAACAAGGTGAGGAGAGTGAACATGTGCAGATGCAATAGGAGCACATTCATGATAATTTCTTTTGTTTGAACAGAAGAAAACTCACATAAATTCAACATTTTAGTTAAGGAAGCAGTAGACACAGTAGCATTAACACCACCACATAACTCAACCACAGTACAGAGAACTCAAAAAGAGAATTCTTCACTTCCACTAACAACTCAAGAACCCCCATCACCACCACTTCATATTGCATCACTCACAACACTCCGATCAAACTCACTTGAAAGATAATTTAGATCACTTAGAACATCAATAAGACAAGAACATAACAACGCCCTGAATCAAAAACTCATCCAACAACTAAAATATAGTAAAACAACACTCACAATCACATAGAACTAAATGAAGCCAACATTAAAGACTCCAAATAATGCCCATTATCAAAGCACCAATAAACCAGATACTTACACAAAACCATTATCCATTCAGAAGGGCGATCGAAATTAGAACCAGCAACCAGACGGCCAATGGCCAGTACAATTGGCCATTGGGGGACCCTAATCTCCAGAACTCGATGACTTCGTTGTCCCTCTAAGATCTGATCGTCTGATTAGGAGGATTGGAGCGAACGTTGTTCACAAATGTTAGGGTAAGCGGACAGAGAAGAAGAGGAAGGAGCCAGAACAGAGTGTGGAAGTGGAATGAGAATTTTGGGATTTTAATTTTTCTTTTTTTTTTTAAGGTGAGGTTGCACCATAAAAGGCAACGGCATGCCATCTGAAGTCTGAACTGCCCCGTTTTGTTTGCCGTGTTCCAACCGCATCTCATCTAATTGGATATCTTTAACTTCTAGGAAGAGTACATTGCTACTGATTTCAAAACTGAATAATTCTTTAGAAAAGTTGAACTGGGTAACTAAGTTTCTTACAGTTGGGGAGGAAATGGATAGAAATGTTCTGCTTTCTCCCTAATTTGAAGGGTGATAATTTGACCGTCCTAACCTTTATGAGAAAATCTTTAGAGTTTAGATGTTAGAAAGGGAAATGATATGGAATAATTTTTTTGAATAATTTTAATATAATTTTAATATGTTATTAATTAAATAGATATAATATTATGAGTTTTAATAAAATAAAAAAATTAATTTTTAAATAAAAATTATATAAAAAAATTATTGAAAAGAATTTCTCTTAATCATTTTCTTATTAAAAATTCTTTGGATGTCATCAAACATACTAAGCAAGTGTTTGGATTAGTTTTTTAGAAAAAGTTAATAACTAATAATTGATATTTGAAGGTTGATAATTATTATTATTTATGATTTAAAATATTTAATTTATTTAATTAGAGTCAACAGGTTAATAACTTTTTATAAAACACTTAAACCTCATGATACACTAACATTTTGCTAGTTTATTAGCAAATTCCTTTTATGACTAAGTGTAGTTATACCCTTAGTGGCCGTAAAGATATGTTTTGTTTTAATAACTACTTTACCTTAACAGTAAAAAAATTGGCTAAATTACCATATCTTTATATATTTTTAGGTGAGCCTACAGCAAAAAAGTCCAGTAATGTTTATAAAATTAGTTATATACCTTAATAAATGATCAAACACGAAGTATTCAATAAAAATAATTAAATAATTTTATGAGTATTCTATATTCTTTTCATATAGGACAACTCGGAAAACATTTTTGTAATATATAAACATATTCTGTATATATGAGTTAAACACTATGTAAAAGGATCTAAAGTGTTTACTTGATCTGCTGTGTGTTGTGTGTTGTGTATTTGTGTGATTGGCATTGCATGCCTGCTTACTTATTGTGACACACACCAGTGTTGCTTTACTATTATTTTGACAATTCTCATTTTTTACTCTTCCCTTGTGTTAAAAGAGGAATGTATCCATTGAATAGGCCTTCGACTTTTTTTATATATTTTCATGAGAGAAATGAAGATGAAAAAAATTGGTTGCTGCAGGAATCTGAAGAAATGATGATGACAAGCATCCATTGCAGTGAGGACATGGAGGCAGCTTTAGTTGCGTTACTGGTGTTTTGGCGTTTCATTATTATTTACGTTTAAATTTATAGTGTACTCTTGCTTTCTGGGTTATGCAACTAAGGATAGGACTATAATTCTCCTAATTCCTATCCATTTGTTTCAAGAAATAAATTTAAGATTTGCAATTTAAAGTTTCAAGCTCTTAACTATTTAAGACAACTCCCTAGAGACTAAGTTTATGGTGTATTGAACAGTGGATTTGTATGGCAATTTGGATTTTGTTTTCATTGAGCAAAATGAGATTAGTTAAATTGCCTGCTACATTATATATTTATATTAGCAACATTCAATAATTATCCCTAATTACAGGTTAGATGGTACTCGTTGGATTGGATTCCAGGTATAGTCCTTCAGGTTACCTAGTATTTAGCGGCAGAATAAGGACCAAGTAAATTGGTTTTCACTTGGCGAAACCACCTAGCTTCCCTTGAAAGATACTAGAAACCTATTTCTTTATCATTTCCCCATTAATTCACCCCATGGGAAGAATAAGGGATTTTATGTTGTTGCCGCTCCTAAGAAATGTTGTTTCTCTTGGTTTCCCTCTGATTTCTGCAGCCTTTCTTCTTTGGATTATGTGATGTTTGAGAGGAAAGGGTTATAATTATAGTCTTGGGTTCTTAATAAATTCGGACCTGAGCAAGTCATTTGCTCTATCATCAAAGCAAACCTTAAATACTAAATATTGGGAATGCTCCATGTAAAATTAATAGAATTCCTTTAATTTTTTTTTGTCCCCCCAGCATTTCCCTTAATTTGTTAAAAAAAGTAGGTTAATATATAAATTTCCTAATAGATTTGATTTAAGTTGGAGGAGACAGATTTCGTGTGAATGTTTTGATGAGCATATATTGATATACACTGTTGACTACTATTCTGAGAATTGAAGTGTGGGCTTGTCAATCAGATATTACGATTATTGCCCTTGAAATGCTTGATTCAAAATAAATATGTGAAAGTGCATTCTTAGTGGATTGTGTGTGTCATTTTGGCATGCTTTATGTGCAGTAAAGTGTTTATACAATGTGGTTTGTGTGATTTTTTGTGAAGTTACAATGGATAATTTTTTATGAAGTTATATAAAATAAGTGGACCTACACATTAAGGGGTTAAATTATCTGCATATTGAATCTAAACCTATTGTTTGGGGTATCCAATAAATTCTTTGGGTAAAAGTAAACTTCTGTATGGTAACGTGAATGTTATAACTAACTTTAACACCCAATATTAGTACTAGAAAATTCAATAGATTCTATGGCTTTGTAATTTGAATATATGCATTGTCTTATGACTTTAAAATGCATAACTTAGTCTATGATTATATAGTATTGTGTGATTGTAATGCATGTCAATATGATTGTGATTTTTGACATATTATTGTGGTATGATTTGAAGTATTTGATTACCATGTATTTAATTATTAATACTTTATTAGGACTTGTGGTTTTATGCTTTACATGATTGGAAGTCATTGACTTGTTATTGTTAGTACCTATGACTATGAACCTCTAACTAGGTTATAGCTTATCGCTATGATTACATTTGGGCTTTCAGCTCACCTTGTTATATTTTTCCTTCCTTTCAGATAATTAGCTTGGAAGGGCAGCTTGTCAAGGCTTAGTAAGCTTTTGGTATAGGTCTTCAACACTACTTTGGCCCAAGAGCTAGAATCCTCATTCATTCTACATGGGAGTCACAAATCAGTGAAAACAAGGGATCAATAAGCTCAGCTGTGGAGGAATGGACGTAAAGACAAATGCTCGGTAAGCTCCACTACAGTATAATTACCATTTATCTATATTATTATTTTTTATATATAGTGATAATTCTGTAGGTATAAGAGTTTATATTTACAGTTTATTAATTTATATGTATATAATCTAAATATATCTATATATTTATAAAAATTGTAAGAGAAGAAAAATTTTATCTATAAAAATAACTTAATATAGGTATAAAAAACTTTTTATACCTATAATCATAATCAATTATAAAAACAACAATAATCTATACTTATTAATATCAAAATCCATAGTTATAATTCATTAAAAATAGTTTAACTTAATAAATTTACTTTAAGTCACCCAAATTACTACTTGCTAACTCTTTGAAAAAAAAAAAACAGAATTTTTATGTTGGCCTAGAAAAACCAATAACAAATTCATAGGAGAAGCAAAATGAAAAACAAAAAGAAGAAGAAGAAATTCAACTGTTATTGTTGAAAACACACTTAAACTTTAAACCATTATCTTCAAATTGAAAATTAATGAAAAAAATAAAAAAAA